CCCCCCCCCCCCTCCGACGGGGTCCCAGATCATGGCCTTTGGCCATTAGGCGCGTTTTGTGTGTTCAACCGCATTGAGACTGGCGTACTTTCATTGGTCAGCCGGTAAGGCGGTCGATGCTCATCACGAACACACACACGCGCTTGTCGGTAGCAATCTTATTCTTTCATCAGAAAGTATTCGCGTGTCTTCTTATCCCGCTTCAAGACTGACACCTTGTATTTTCACCGGTCAGCCGGTTAGCGCGGTCAATGCCAATTAAGAAAACACACACATGCAGCAAATATGTTGGGTGTCTCACCGCCTCATCCGCATGCTGTGTGCCCCCGCGGCGTCAACAGGGCACGCGTGCGAGGAGACGTAGAGGCAGCCCCGGTGCCTCATCGCCACCGTGAGAGAATGCCTGTGGTTGGTCAGAGCCCAGGGTGGGAGCGATGAGAGATGAGCGCCCGCGCGGCGGTCGCATTCGGTGCGCACCTGCGCAGTCGGCTCACTCTGAAAGCGACGGCTTTCGTTGCACACACTATCAACAACCGGAGTTGCCCCCCGCTTCCCCATCCCGGCCGCGGGACCCCGAACGGGGGTTGCCTTCCTCTCAAACCGGACCAGGACATCGGTAACACACACACACACACCAAAAACACACGTTTCGCTTGTTGCCCCCCCCACCACTATCGTTGAGGCTGTCGCTTTAGCGCCGCGGTCAACGGTACCCAGCGAAACCAACATGCATGGGGAGATTGCACCCATGCACAAGACACAGGCGAAAATGCTCCTACAATTGTGCACTTACCTCCTCTCCGACATGCCGCTAGATGCGATGGGTTCCCAGCACGACGCCCGCACCTGTGTGTAGGGACCGACCAGGAGCAAGCGCGCGAAAAACATTGGCAACAGACAAAAAGCACGCCTTCCATCAACGGTAAACGAAAAAAATAGAAGGAAATAAATTTGTCCAATAGACGGAAACAACGTCCGGTATTATTGGTGTTAACGGTCGAAATGTACCCTCATTGTTGTTCGGAAACTTGGGGTCAAAACACGCCTTTTCATCAGCGGTGAAACGAGATAGTAGGAGGAAAATCTATTCGTCGAACAGACAAAAAATCGACCTTTTATTGGTGTAATGGTCAACTTGTACCCTCGTTATTGTTCGGAAAACCTGGGGGTCAAAACACGCCTTCCACCAACGGCGAATAAAAAAAATCTTGGGAGGTATGGAGAAGGAGAAGCAGGGAAGACAGTGGCTATGGCTGACGACGTTTCCCGAAGTTATCGCGGTCCGGACCTCAAAGTCCGTCGTCCGAATGGATGCGTCACTCGGACGGAAGAATGGTAGGAAGGAATCAATACCATTGACACCACACCATCAAAGAAAGCAACCTTGCAGCAAAAGTAACGAAACGGCCATTCAGCTGCCGCCGCCTGCCTACCATTTTCTGCATGGACAGGGCCAGTTCTGCGGCCTTACCTCAGGGATCGACAAAAGGACTATCGAGCCGTACGAAAACTTTGTGTACACATAGAACTCACACGTTTTTTATTCAGAAGAGTATTTCTTGTTTTGGAAGACTCACCAAACAAAACGGGCAACAAAACACTATTATACCGCCAGAGCACTACTAAACGTCTCGACTTTTCTCCAAATCGTACCACACCCTAGAACCACGAAGCCGCCGCTACCTCCGCCGACACCACTTCAATACCTGCTGCAACGACGATGGCGACGCCTTAGTGGCACGCGAGCGCGAACGAGCGGGGGTCCCGGGCTGAGAAACACCCCCCCCCCCCGCGGCGGGGGGTTGCTGCTCCGCCGGTAGCGAGCCGAAGTCGACCGTGTCTTCTCCTCCGTCCGCCAGCGTGAAGCGAAGCTCTTCCTTCGCTGCTGCCGCGGTGGTGGTCATGCCGCCGACGCGGCGTATAGTGAGCGCCAGGGCCTCCCCGCATCGGTTGCGCATGCGGAAAGGCTGCCTGATTCGAGCGCCGGTGGTGACGCGGTCCTGAAAGAGAAAGGGAAGACAGAGAGAGAGAGACACACACACAGACACACACAGACAAACAGACAGAGCATGCGGAAGAAACAAATAGTAAGCGGGGGTTGTCATCGCATTACGTAACTGCATTTCATTTTATTGCGGGAAGGACATGCAAAATTGATGGGTGTTTGTCAGCACTAGGCTGCACAGCCAGAGGCTGTGTGCAGCAGTCGGTGGCCCAAGTCTCTTCTTACGCAGTAACGCCGATTGACCAAGACAGACAGATTTTGTTGCCGGGCACCCTCGAAGGTGATTGCCAGCCAGCCACTTTTTTCTGGCCGATTCACACCAACATGAGTGTTTCTCTTCATTCTTCTCTCGTCTGCTCAAAGCCCGGCTGCCATTTTTTCTGGCCAAACAATACCAACACGAACGCGATTTTCTTTAATCTTCTCATCTGTTATGGCGGGCCGCTCGCCTCGTCTGACTATTACCCTTTTCCTCTCGGACTCAAGAGTATCGATTTGGGGTCACGGAACACACAATTCGTCTGCGGTGCTTGCCGTGAACTTTTGCGGCAAGACGGATTCAGTCGCCCTTCCCGTATGTTGAGTCACGAACAAGCGGCTTCCACCACAACAATTACTTGCCATGTGCGGAGAGCCATGAACGCGCCTCGCCGAAAATCAAAACCCCGACCATAGCCCTCGAGACTATTGTACCACCTACAGGGGTGACCGGCTTACCGGCTGACAATAACCGGTTCTACCGCTGCAACCCCCCCCCGCCCCCCGCCCCCCCCGGACTGAATAAACTGGTGGTCTTCAATTGTACGAGTATTCATTATTTTAGTGCCGTCCCAGTCCCAAACCACGCGAAAAACTAGCATGGGGTGCTGTTCGTGTTCGTAAAGAACACTACCTCCTCCTCCTCCCCCGCCAACACCTTCGTGCTGGTGGTGGTGGTCGGGTAGCACCAAAGGTACCGACGGCGCCCCCCGGCTTTCCTAGCGATACGAAGGCGTCGCGGTTGGGGTGACAGGACCGCGGACACCCATGCCTACCGAATGAATCACGACCCCGTTATGTGTACACATACATACCTTGGACAGAGCCAGCGCCTTCCTCCTCACCGCGGAGACCATGGCGTGGGTCACGTTCACGTCCACCACCTCGGGAAGGGAAAGCTGCGCCTCCATCACCCCCCGCTTCTTCTCCCCTACCTGGCCCCAACCGCCGCCGCCCGCACCGCCGTCGCCGCCACCTTCCGCTGCTGTTGCTCCCGTCGCCCCCTCCTTCCCTGCTGCGTCGCCCACCCCATCGTCGCGGTGGACAGCGACGGCAAGGGGAACCTCTTCGATGACGGGCTCCCGGCGGTACAGGGCCTGAGGATGAGTTGCGATCACATGAGAGGGGGGTATATACTCTTATGTTTTGCATGCCTTAGTTGTTTGAGCATTGACCACGCGTGCGGGTCGGGGTGGGGTCCATCAAATCTGGTGCCCTTGGCTCAACCATGTATTGGGGGGGGGGGGGG